CCCATAAGTAAAAATTCATTTTTATGCAGTGAACATTTTGAAAAGGAATGCTTTTGCAAGTCATTTGCTGGCCGGAAAGTAAGTCTTAAGTCAGAATCAATTCCGACAATATTCAGTTTCTCCGAACAGAAAACCAAAAGGAAGGCTCCGAAGGAAAGACGCTCGATTGATGATGAAGTACGTCAAAATATTACTAAACATCAGGAATCCTCAGCTAGTAATAATGAAGGAGATATTTTGATAGAAGATGCAAATGAAATTCCGTTTTGAAAAGGAATGCTTTTGCAAGTCATTTGCTGGCCGGATAGTAAGTCTTAAGTCAGAATCAATTCCGACAATATTCAGTTTCACCGAACAGAAAACCAAAAGGAAGGCTCCGAAGGAAAGACGTTCGATTGATGATGACTTTCCGGCCAGCATATGACTTGGAAAAGCATTCCTTTTCAAAATGTTCACTCCATAAACAGGAATTTTTACTCACGGGCGTGTTTTCCCGTTTGATCTTGACTAGCCAAGTCGCCAGAAGTTTCTTCTTATTCAGTGGCAGTGAATGCCACGAAAGATGCTTGCAATGTAGTTTATCGATCCGGTTGTTGCATCCGAATGCAATACAATGTCTAACCATTGCTATCTTTGCCTTTTGAATGCTTCAGATTGTCGATAAAAGTAAAAAATTGCGTAAAATGCAAGTTGTTTTGAAATCTACAGTGATACCTTTGAGAATTTACAAAGCCTTTGGCCCAAGTGCCTCGATTCCGTGCATCTTTAAACAAAACCGCTTTTACGCGGGCTCAGATCTAATATCTGCCGAAAATCCCTCCAAATTGGTCTGTTTCAATTTATGAACTTTTACATTCCTACGTAAAATTAAGTTCTTCGCAAGAGAGTTCTCTTTTGGATATACGCACAACTGTCTATTCTTTTCTCGGGGGAGAAGGGAGGGGGACGAATTCACATACAATCCTGGTTTTGGATTATCGATTTGCAAACAAATCATAGATTTTTAAGGCCCTGTTTACAAGCAGGAGGGTTACCCTAACGCTCCCACATTTCTTCTCTTTTTCATCGACGTGTTTACAAGGCAGCTAGTGTTACCCTAGCACGAGGGTAAACCTAGCTGAGCGCTAGGGTAACCGTAGCTGCCTTGTAAACGCTCTGCTGAGGATAACTCGCCTACCCGGGACAACTTTTTACTTGTTTCCAGACCCTTCGAACATTGATAACAATGCGTGCGGTTACCAAGCATAGGTAAGCTGTCCCAGGTGGTAGGGTAACCCTGCCTGTGAAATTTTGCTTGTAAACCCGGGCTATCTTTGACCTGCCTGCTAGGGTAACCCTAGCACAAGGGTTACCCTCCTTGCTTGTAAACAGGGCCTAATAGTTTTACCTTACGAAGGTATTAACTGTCAATATTTATCTAAGGGGTTTACACGAAGAAATTGAAAAAATACGCGGTTTAAACTTGGCCAACGCATACATATATCAGGAAGAACTTTAGTTGTAGCGTTTAAATGGTATATTTCAGAGGTAAAATTAAGCTCAACACATGCAGATTCGCTTTCCTTTTCATTCACATAAATCGATTTGATCTCATATTGCTCCCCCTCTCTTACTTTCTGCCATCAATTACGTGATGAATAAACAGCTGCCAATTCAAACTGACACTTCTTAGAAGCTGGGTAATGAAGCCTGTGACAACTATGACACGAGTACGTGCCTAGCCGGCAGACATTTCTCATTTGTTTTCCGTTTTAGTTATTGCTAAAAGAGACAAAAGAGGCTAAGATTGTATTCTGAGTCAAAAGTTTCGTTGTCATTTAAATTGGATGAACCTTGAATAGTATTCATGGGAAAGAGCATGAGGCGGAATTGAAAAAAGAAGTTGGAACTAATTTGTTATAACACTACACTGCAGCTCTGGTCATTAACGCGTCAAGGAACTCACCAGAGCCATTTCCCCGAGCAATTTTTTACTCTCTTTTACGGTCTTCAATTACGTCCAATCTTTAGTTTTGGTCGAAGGATTTCCTTAAATTAGCAGGAATATATTGGAAAAGGTAAATAAGATTTATTTTTTAGCAACGCAATACAGAAATATATGAGCGGCGACCGCTTTTTTTTGACAATTCATTTGAAACCACCCCAAAAAAATTTATGATGATTTCTGGGGTACGTTTACCAAACGATGGTACTTACTTTTTCAATTGACTTGAAGCTTGCTATTAAAATCTTAAATTATGAGGACACGAGCTCGAATAAGTTTTTTTTGATTTACAATTGGACAATCAAGGGTTAATGATTCAAAGAAATTAGAAAAATTAACGATAAAACCATCGCACGAGTATCTGTCTGGTTAGAAAGTGCCTTTTATTCCTCATCATTCAAGTCGATGTTATTCAGTTAAACCTTTCTGACATAACAGGCAAGGATAATTTACCGTATTACATAAACAGCTAAGCAAATTCTGTATACAAATTTGACGATTTTGCAGTACACAGGACAATATCACTGATAAACACAGGATTCGCTTCTTTGGAATATCCTTCATGTTCGTATGATAATTATTGATTTTGAGAAAAAGGTTCGCAAGGGCGACCGTAAGATTCTATTTGGATGGAGTATCGCTTAACAAATTGAACACAGAAGAAACAAGTAGATTTAGACGATTTCTAATTATCTTACGTCAGGAAAACTTGGTTTAGCATTGGGGCCATCTGAAAGATCGGACTGCAATGAAAGAGGGATTTTGCTCTTAATACCATGAACAATTGCTTCATTTGGATCGAAATTATGCTCGGATATTTTCCCTCAGGCACTGTCTCCTTCTTAGAATCGAATTCAGACGATTCAAGAACTTTTTCGTGCGCTGGACAAAACGGTTAGAGACAGCTGCTTTAGCATCGAGGACATTTGTCGTGTGGGATGTTGACATTTCTATGCTCTATTATCTGTTCTTTTTTAATAACCGCAGAGCGCTTTACCATTTTTAATTAAACTTTAAACGAGGATTTTCATAAAATTTAATGTACGGTTTGAGAATTGGGGAATGTCACCTGAGGAATATTACCGGATATTCCGCCAACTTAGATGGGCATTTCGGGTTACGCGAGGCCGTTAGTCCAATTTCCTTGTAAACGTAAGAATAGCTTTATTCCAAGCTCTCGACGCCTCCTAATGCGTGATTTTTGGTGCTTTTAAGTTCTTTTTATTCCTTTTTAAACGGTGTCATAGAAAACAAAACTTTCCTAATTTTTCTTGGGAAACATTACAGCTTTCTCAACGGCAGTCGTTTACCAAAATTGCTTCTTTAACAATCACCTGTCGCCATGTGTTATACTTCAATTTGTTATTTTTTGCCGTAAAACGCCGCTGATTGCCATAATCAAAAAATGAAATACGAATGCACGAATAAACTGTTGACCCGGATTTAGATTTCAGCTGTCGTAATTGTTTTTTTTTTTTCTTTTCCTTTTTTTTTTTTTTGTGGCGTTAAAAACATAGAGATTTGAATGATTTTAGATTTTAGTTTACGTTAGTTCTTTAGCCATTAGGCTTCTAGAATTTTCAGCGATAACAGTCAGAATTTTCCTAAAATAACTTCATATATTGATGTAAAATGAGATAAACATTATCTTTTTTCAGTTTTGGTACCAAACTTTCAAGAACGGAAGCTCATTACAGTATTCTTAAAGCTAGCCTTCACAAGTTCAAATATATATTAATCACGCAAAGACAATTTTCCTTTTACATGATAGATTATTAAAATCTAGATAACACGATCTTAATTACGATCAATAACAGGCTTATCTGACATAATAATGAGTGTTTCAATGCAATTACCCATCCATTCCGTGCAGAATTAAGTTTCCCTGAATGCGATTGCGATCTCATTACCGTTTGACTTTGCAGTACGTAGCTGAGTGGAAAAAACGGTCTTCCACCTAAGTAGGAAAAACTACTACATTAATATCGACATGTTGCTCATAAAGGGTTCGGGGAGATTCTATAGTCCAGTGGGTATTCTTTGACAAGCTTTTTCGGAAAGCTACTTTAATAGATAGAGAAATGTTAGCTCATAACATTTTAACCAGGCCATTGTAACTGTCACATAAGATATTCTGTCTGTTGACATTGATTGATATGGAAAAGTGACTTCAAAAATCACCTGGAAGGATATCAAATTCATTACAAAACACGGAAATAAAATCGTGAATTGTTATGAACTTTACTCTACTTAAGCCTTCATTCGGTAAACCAGACGGTAGATTTCAGAGTTCACATTTGTCTTGCGGACGTTCAAAGGTACTGAACGTAAAGTCGTTTCTCGCTTTTGGTCGTTTTTTAATTACGTGACGGAGCACGGAGACCAGAAATTATTTTCATTAAAAAAACAAAAAAACAAAATGCGACGTTTTCTTAATCGTTCCTCAATGTCTTTCAAAGGATATATAACTAATGTCATTGACCGTCATTAGGTGACATTTCGCATCGGAAACATGGTTTATTCTCTGTAATTAACACTACTTAACATTAGCAACCCGAGCTTTCAGAAATTAGACTCAATTTCAACACGAATAAGTCTTCGTGCCACAAAGACAATGGAAAAGGAAGTCACGTTGACAATTGGTCCAGTATTTGAGGAGAACATACGCAATATAGCTTGGAAAGTCTTCTAGGAAAGCATAATACCTGCAGTTATTACGCTAGGCAACCTAGCTGTGCTATGTTATTACGTAACGAAAATAAAAGGATTTTTAAGGTAATTTTTTGCGGTTTAATCCACGACATTTTTACGGTCTTAAGATACATTCGTTTTCTCAGGAAAATCTTGTTAGGTAATAACTTGTGCATCGAGCCCGTGCTGTTTCTGTTATTAGGGACTTTAAGCAAACCACGACGGCTACGGCAACGAGAACGAGGAAAAAACAATAGATCTAATTTGCAGAACAATAGCCCAGCACGTGCGTTTCAAAACTTTGTACATTTCTTAGCTGTCCTTT